TATATGTATATATATGAAAATAAACAACTACTTTCTACTTGTACTATTCCTTCTTCACATTTTTTTCACTTACCGTGTTGCTTCAGGTTACCTATCCCCCACGATAAACGAGGGACTTCTGTATTAATATTGGCTCTTTTTCTTCTTCCTGCAGTTAAATACTTTCTTGTTTTCAGGTTTTAGAAGCTGATGATAACGTCATAGAAAGCCTAGAGGGAGTTTATCGCCTTCCTAAACTTGAAGAAGTCTCCTTGAAGAACAACAGTATCCTTAAGTTGTTGATTCATATTCAGCCGTGTTTCTGTCGAGAACATCTTGTTTTGAACGTTTTGGTGCTGCACCACTGGTGCCATAGGAACTGGATTATAGTGTCACCACTTCTCAGAAGGTATGAGTGACCTGGTACCGAAGAACGAACCCGGGCAGAGAGAGCGAGCAGCTCCATGTTGGGTGACGTAAAGTCCACTCTGCTTGCATGGCCAGTGTTAACGTCTGTACAAACTGCACAGATAATGAGTCTCTTCAGCTCAGCGCATGCATAATTTATCTCACCTGAATCTCAAGTAATTAAATGAGGGGAGGGAAAAAAATCACACACCCTGCAATTTTATAAAGTGGTCGCTCCATTAAGAAAGAAAGAGACGCTTAACACATCATTGCCACCCCCCCCCCCCCCCCCCCTCATGCTTCACCTCCTCTTATACACTTGAGAAGAATTAATGAGGTTCACAGGTTGGAACATCAAGGCTACGGTAAAGCTTTTTGTGCTTTATTTTGTAATGACAGTTCAAATGGAGTTTGTGGACTCTAATAAATTTAGAGTAATTTAGTTGAATGTTGTATACAGAGATCTTTCACCAGCGTTGTCATATTTCTTATTGAGCACAATTACGCACCACTGTATGCAGGAAGGCTTTTATTAATTAACCCAAACGCACAGAAATCTCAGCGCTGGCAGATCTTCAGCCACTGGCCTCCTGCCCCAAGCTAAAGCGCCTTGATCTCCGTGGCAACCCCATCACTCAGATGGCGGGCGTGGAGTCGCAGCTCGAGGAGCTGCTGCCCTCAGTCACGGACCTCCTGCTCTGATGAGGCGCAGGGCAGGAAGCACTGCCCATCATCGGTCTGTCCATCAGTCCTCTGCTGGATTTGGAGCAACTCTGTGCGAATGTGTGAGCAAGTGTGTGTTTTGTGCCTCTGCGTGTCTTGTTCCAGGTAACGTCGGTCACAGAGACTCTGAACAGCCTGAAGTCTTCAGAGCACACATCAGACACGACTTCAATCTGCAGCTCAAGTGTGTTAGAGCGAGTACGTAATAACGAACGTTGCGTTCTGTTGTGTGTTTGTATGGATGTCCTGTGTCCCAGTGCATGCAGAAATATGAAGGAGGTGGAACTTGGACCTGGACTGGTGAAAAGCCAGTCCGTGGGTTTGACTTGTTGCATCTCTGAGCTTCAACCGTGAAATCTGGAAAAGAAAAGTTCAAACAGGTTGATCAAAGCTTCTTGTCACTTCAGTCGAAGCTTTGATGACATTGATTGGCTTGGTGTCACATGACGTCACAGATCCAGTAATAAACAGCGCACATGTGTCACTGCCTTCCAGCCTCGTGTGTTTTCTGTTTTGTCCCGTCATCAGCCTCTGGACAAAGATCGTCTAATGTTGAGAAATGATCAACCTGAGGGGGGAAGTTAAGCCTCAGCTTGTGTGCTCTGAATCACTCACAGCTACTACCACATCACTGTTTAGTTCAGTATGTGTATCTTTGCCCACAGTGATTAGTTGTAACCTTCTTGGCTCCAAAAGATGTTTATACAAGGATTACTTTCTGAAAGTTGAGTTACAGTCTGAGTTGGTTTGTAACGGACGCATGCAGAACCTTATTGTTTGTTTTTTTGTAGCAAAAACTAAATCTGAGATTTCAGTATATTTATTATCAGGTTGAGCTTTAAATTAAATTAATATAATTTCCTTTTTTTTTTTAAAATAAAATATTGGGGTATACAGTCCAAGCTCGACTCCTCTGTAAGATGGAGTACATTAAAACAAATAACAATAAATAAATACATAGATGAAACAAATTCAAGTTGGGGGAGTTTAATTTGGCTGTAGTTTGTTTGTTAGTTTCTTTGCAGAAGCTTGTTGTGTTGCTCTCGTACCTTATGGGACGGAGCCGACCCACTATGTCCAACCCAGAGGAAGAATCCTGTTCATCAGACGTTTAGAGATGAATGAAGCAGAAGAACTGAAGAAGCAGGTAAAGATAATGGAGGAAAAGCAGACATTTAATCTTTTATCTTGATACTTGTGAGGGTGTGCCTCTGCTACTAGGAGTGGATCTGATTCACCGTGAACTTATTTATTGTTCTTTTTTTTTACATCAGTGGTTTTGATTTTGCAACAGTTTTTGTTATGATGTTGTGACGTTTTCAAACAGGAAAACTGAGACAGAAAAATGCTGCCTGGCAGTGTTTAACACTGAATTATTTTAATGACGCACCTTTCAGCTCAACAGAAAACAATTCAAACACGTCACCTTTTAAATCTTTGACTTTAGCATCGTGTTGAAGCGTTTGTGAGATTATCTTAGATGACATTTAAAGACGGGTTCTCCAGTAGAAAACTTGCCTCTATGGCAGTGCTTCTCAATTATTTTCTGTTACGCCCCCCCAGGAAGAAGTAAACATTTCGCACCCCCCCAACTCTGCGCAGCGACTGTAAATAGTATCATTTGTCTATAAAATTGTTATAAGTACACCTCTACATAACATTGTATCCTTATTAACATTAAATAAATAAAATATAGATCAACTTGCAGCAAAGATTAACATTGTTTTATAGTCTGTAACGGAAAAGACAAAGTGCATCAATCTGCCTGAAATTAAAACCTATCCTTTTTTAAACTAAACATTTTTGACCATTTCATACTGAACAATCAAATTAAATACAGTCAATACATAATAATAAATTCAAATTGATCCGCAGCATTTTAAGTCATGAGTGTTATATACAACATCTAAAAAAGTTCAGTCTGGTCCTCTGGACGTTCAAAAAATAAAAACAAAAAATGTAGAAACGTTTCGTCTTTCATCCGAAAGAAAAGAAGAAGTATTTCGGATGAAAGACGAAACGTTTCTACATTCTTTTTGTTTTTGTGTTTTGAACGTCCGGAGGACCAGACTTAACTTTTTTAGATTTTGCTACCTGGATTATTGAGCAGCATCAGGATGTTATAAACAACACTTTGACCTACAAAACAAAAATGAATAAAACAATTTGTGCTGATTTTTAAAACATTTTTAAAATCAGAATGAGGAATTCAGGATAAATGGCTACAATGAGCACGTTTGCAGTGCACAGTTTTTGAAGTGGAGTTTGAAACACGACCCTGCAGCTCTCAGGTCCTGCTCAATGGTTAGCTGGACCTGGACTTGGTCTTCAGTGCCAGTGACAAGCGTCCGAGCGTCACCAGCTGAGGAGGTGTCGGAGTTCTCAGCAGCAGAGGGAGGCGACACGGTTCAAGCATGGATCCCCAAACGACAAGACGGTCATATTTGTTCATAACTTTATTATTAGTAAGACTGAGAGTTGTCAGATTTTAGCAAACAGTTGCCAAATGCACCCTGACAAAATGAGAATGGTGCAAAAAAAAAAAAAAACTACTCCCTGCCGCACGATGTTCCCCGGGGTCACATGCGCTTCCCCAAGGAGGGCGCGCTCCACTATTTGAGAAGGACTGCCCTAGAAAACTGGTCGAGGCGGAGGTGTAGTCTCTATTGTTCAGTCGGGACTATTAATACTAAACCAATTATTACTTATAGGCCTACTACTTTTGAGTCACATTCTCTAGTCTATCCCATCCTAAATGGAAAACAGAAATGGCACTCTAGTTGTTATATATTGTCCACCAGGCTCGGTTTTTTTATGAATTCTCAGAATTCTTAACTGATTTACTATTAAATACTGACAAAGTCATAATAATGGGTGATTTCAATATTCATGTAGATGTTGAGAGTGATAGCTCAAGCATAGCCTTTAATAATTTAATAGAGTCAATTGGTTTTACCCAAAACGTCCAAACATCTACTCACTCTCATCATCACACTCTTAACCTGGTTCTGACCTATGGCATCAAGATTAATAACTTGGTAATAGTTCCTCAAAGTTCTGTTCTGTCCGACCATTTTTTTAATAACCTTTGAGTTTACATTAAATGACTACACAGTCACTGAGAGTAAATTTCATCTCAGCAGGTGCTTATCAGAAAATGCTGTAACCAAATTTAAACAATCTCTTCCATCAATGTTTTCCTCCGTCTTGCAGAGTAATGCATCAGAGAACAGTGACTTAGATCATCTAGATCATCTAAATAATGAATTTTCATCATACACCAAAGTTAGTCATGGAGTTCTTCAAGGTTCAGCTCTACCTTGTATATGCTTCCATTAGGTAAAGTTATTAAACAGCATGGGATAAATTTTCATTGTTATGTTGATGACACACAATTATATTTGTCCATTAAACCCAATGAATCCAATCAGCTACTTAGACTACAAGCATGTCTTAAAGACATAAAAACCTGGATGACCCTAAATTTTCTCCTGTTGAACAGACAAGACTGAGGTTTTGGTTTTTGGACCTGAACACCTTAGGAATGAATTTTTCAGTCTTTCTCCCTCCTTAGATGCATTAATCTGTCCTCCAGCTCTAATGTTAAAAATCATGGAGTTATTTTTGATCAGGACATGTCTTTTATCCCCCACATTAAAAACGTTACTAGAACCTCCTTCTTCCACCTGTGTAATATCACTAAAATTAGAAACATCTGATCTAAAGATGATGCAGAAAAACTGGTCCATGCATTTGTCACGTCTAGACTGGATTATTGCAATGGTTTATTATCTGGGTGTCCAAATACTTCTTTAAAACGTCTTCAGTTGATCCAAAATGCTGCTGCCAGAGTCTTAACTGGAGTTACTGGGAGAGATCATATTTCTCCAGTTTTAGCTTCTCTCCAATGACTCCCTGTCAAATCCAGGATAGAATTCAAAATCTTGCTTCTAACCTACAAAGCTCTCAACAACCTAGCTCCATCTTATATTACAGATCTTATTGTTCCATATTTTCTTAACAGAGCACTTCACTCTCAGACTGCAGGTTTACTTGTGGTTCCTAGAGTTTCTAAAATCAGAATGGGAGGAAGATCTTTCAGTTCTCAGGCTCCTCTCTTGTGGAACCAACTTCCAGTTTCTGTCTGTGAGGCTGACACATTATCCAGTTTTAAAACTAGGATTAAGACTTTCCTTTTTGATAAATCCCATAATTAGGGTTGGCTTGTTATGCTGCTAAAGACAGAGTACTAGAGGACAAATTGAACTAATTTCCTTAAATTAATTGTTAAAATTGAATCGTTTTCATTTGGAACTATTTCTATCTTAACGTGATTTTTGACCTGCCATTGTGTATCTGTTATTGTTTCCTGTTACTCTCAAACCCAGTCGGTCGAAGCAGATGGTCCTCTTGTCCTGAGCTGGTTCTGCTGAAGGTTTCTTCCTCATGAGGGAGTGTTTCTTTCCACTGTCGCCTTCATGCTTGTTCAAGATGAGAATTCTGTGATGGAGTTAAATTCAAAGCAGTCTGCTCCTCAGATAAATAATATTAAATTATTATTTTAAAATATGGATATTTCAGTTAACTTATTATTTTATGTATGGATGTTTCGGGCAGCACGGTGGCGCAACTGGTAGAGCTGCTGCCTCTCAGCGAGCAGGTCGTTGGTTCAAACCCCGGTCCAGGGGCCTTCTGGGTGGAGTTTGCATGTTCTCTCCGTGCATGCGTGGGTTTTCTCTGGGTGCTCCAGTTTTCTCCCACAGTCCAAAAACATGCATGTTAGGCTGATTGGTCTAAATTGTCCCTAGGTGAGAGAGTGAATGTTTGTTTGTCTCGTTTGACTCTATGTGTCCCTGTGATGGACTGGAGACCCGTCCAGGGTGTACCCCGCCCCTCGCACAGTGATTGCTGGACATGGGCACCAGCGACCCCCGTGACCCAAAATGGAATAAGCGGATAAAGATAATGGATGGATAGATATGGATGTTTCTTTTCATTGCCCTGAGACGACTTCTGTTGTGACATGGCGCTATAAATAAACTGAATTGAATTGAAATGTTAGCAGAATGGTTCTGTTATCAGCATGATGGTAATAATGGCCGTGACAACGGACTATGATTTACCCTCCAGAACCAGGTCCGGCAGACACAGAACATCCAAGGTTTTCCCTGCAGAACCGAACTGTTCTGTACAGTTTGGTCTGTGCAGGCAGATGGAGGATCATGAAGATGGCCGCCATGACAGACCGACCAGGAAGGAGCCTGAGCCCGAGGCAGGAACGGGGCCAGGAACTGAACCACGATGGCAGGATGGCAAAGCAGCGACACAAAAAAACTCCAAAAGTGCGTCACGCTCATACCCTTATTGTGCGTGTGCAGTGTAGGCGCAAAAAAATGTTAAAACAAGAACAACAGGAACAAAATAGTTTGAGTCGAAGTGGAGCTCCCATCAGCGCTGCCATACTGCGGCGCATATGGTGGTATGTGTCA